CTCACACGAGGCTTCTCTCACACAGAGGTTTACCTCACAGTCCTCAGGATGACACTAGTTTTGGCCTACTGACTTAAACAGGCCTTGGCCTACTCACTCTCCTAGTGCTTGACTCACATTTTTGTAATCAAAAATGTGTAGCTAATTTTTAATATTTCTGACAGTTTGCCCATGACTGGTATAGATGTTAGGTAATATTGTACTGGTCCATGTATATATGCACGTATATTGATTAGTTTCATTGTTGTTGGGTGGTTTTTTGGTGAATATTCAAATATAGGATGTAAAACTGTCGGACTCACAGATGCCTTAAAGGGCCAGACTCAGAGTTAGTTCCAAAACAGAGTTTATTGAAGCAAAGGAAAAGGACACAGAGACACTTAAACTCAATGCCTCTGGCCAAAACTCAAATGTAAAACCAGACCTGGTCCAAAAGGTAAACAGAAATATAATCCGCGTTAACCAGACAAAAGAACCGAACTAAGCACAGTACTCTGAGGTCACACAAAGAAGGCACAGCATGCAACTGGTAAACAAAAGCAGTAAAGCCACAGGGAGAGAAGCATAGTCAGTCGAAGTCCAGGGTCGTAGCAAGAGAAATTGGAAATAGCGGAGCTCCAAAGTCCACAGAAGCAGCGTCGTAGTCAAGCCGGTCCAAGGTCCAGGAGGGGGAAATCCACACTCACGAGAATCCAATCCGAGTCGAAAGAACACATCAGGAACAGCAACCTGCAGATCCCAAACCAATGCCGAACACGAAACAGGCAGCGACAAGTCCAGACAATACCCAATGCACAAACGTTTACCAACACCTTGCCTTCTGCAAAGATCCCTCATTCCTGAACCCACTTTTATCTACACATCATCATCAGAAGATGAGCTGACCACTGCCCCTTTCAGCTGCTCCCAACTCTTCACGTGAAGTTCTACGCCCATCCCTCCATCTTCTCCATCTCCTGTCAAGACTTAGATCCCCCCAATACTCAGTTGGATTCCCCAATTGCCAGTCTTCACTCCCAGAGAATCCCATAAACGTATCACTAGATGTTGGCTCGGCACAAATAGCTTGCACTTCCTTTACCTTAGTCCAATCCACAGTGTTACTCCTGTTTTCCCCACTGTGTGACCCATTATCCCCAGAGAATCCCTCAAATGAATCTTCATCTGTAGGTGCCATAAGTATATCCTGGATCCTCTTTCTTTGCCGTTCCTCATCCGATTCCTGCGCCCGATTAACCCTCTTTCTTCCCTAGTCCAATCCATTGTGTCTCCTTCTCCTCCTTCACTCATTGACCCTTCATCCCCAGAGAACCCCTCAAATGARTSCTCATCTGTAGGTGCCRTAAGTATATCCCGGATCCTCTTTCTTTGCCGTTCCTCATCCAATTCCTGCTCTTGAGTAACCCTCTTTCTTCCCCTAGTCCAATCCATTGTGTCTCCTTCTCCTTCACTCATTGACCCTTCATTCCCAAAGAACCCCTCAAATGAGTCTTCATCTTTAGGTGACATAAGTATATCCCGGATCTTTTTTCTCTGTTGTTCCTCATCAGATTCCTGCTCTTGAGTAGCCCTTTCCCCCCTTCTGGCACCCATACTACTGCTTGCAACGTTACTTACAGGCTCTACTACAACAAAAACGTCTTGTTTCAAATTACCATCTCAGTTCAGGTCTTTTCCAGGTCGTGGGAGAACCCTGTTCAAAGCCATTGGATTCTTTCAAACGATGCCAGGCAAGGCAAACTGACTCCCGTCCTATTGGGACCTAACCTTGGGGGGGGGGGGGGGGGAGGGGGAAGAGCTGTTCTTTATAACTGGAGCATGTTCTGACAAGTGCGTCAGGCATGGCATGGTCTCCAGTTACAAGCATGAAAGTTCACCAGATTCAGAGCCCTCGCCCTCCTTCCTCTCTCGCTCTACCTGCACTTTTTGGAGTTTTATCAAGTCACATTTTTTAAGCACATCGACTTGAATCCTTTCTGCTTCCAAGCTTTTGCCAATTTAAGGAGCAGATTTGGCTTTCCCAAGGCACTCATGAAATTCCATGTTCAGCTGCTCCCAGAGATGGCCATCCTCTTCCACCAGCTGCTTTCTTGGCCTGGTGCAGCTCTCATTAATCTGTTTTAAAGGTTGAAATATTCCATTCTTTTCCGGGTCCTCCTCCTTTTCCTCCATCGTGCTGCACTTGGAAAGAATAGGCAGAGATTAGATTGAAGGACAGCTTTCTGACTTCTTGGGTGACTCCCGAATACAAAGCTGTCTATTACAACAGCAACCCAAAACAATTTCATGTCCAGAAGGTTCTCTCCCTTTAATAAATCTTAATAAATAGATGTCTTGTTGTTCATAGTTTGCACAAATCCCTCTATTTCCTTTTTTTTTTTACATGATTTATGTTGCTGCTCTTACTCACAAGGTGTGGCAGTGCCTGCTTAGAGTATTGAAGACCCACCCACATCCATTGGAAATCTTATTCCCAACACCTTTGGCTTCTGCAACCTCAGCAAACATTGCTATATATTTATAGCAATACTAGCTGTACCCACCATGCGTTGATGTGGCCAACCTTCCCTCTTTCTCTCCTTCTTTCCCTCCTTCCTTCCTTCCTTCCTTCACTCCCTCCTTCCTTCCTTCCTTCCTTCCTTCCTTCCTTCCTTCCTTCCTTCCTTCCTTCCTTTCCGTCTTTCCTTCTCTTCTTCCTTCTCTATCTCTTTCCTTCCTTCCCCCTTTTTCTTTTTCTTCTGCTGTCTCTCTTTTCTTCCTTCTCTCTTTCCTTCCCTCCCTCTTTCTCTACATCTTCCCCCTTCCTTCGCTCCCTCTTTCCTTCCTTCTTTCCCTTTTTTCTTTCCTTCTCTCCTTCCTTCTTTCTCTAATTTTCCTTCCTTTCCCCTTTTTCTTTCCCTCCCTCTTTCTCTCCTTTCTTCCTTCTCTACCTCTTTCCTTCCTTCTCTCTTTTTCTTCCATGCTTCCTTCTCCCTTTCCTTCTTTCTTTCCTTCCCTCTTTCTTTTCTTTTCTTTTCTTTCTTTTCTCCCCTTCCTTCCCTCTTTCTTCCCTTTTTTTCTGTATTGTCATTTAGCTTTTGGTCATTTAGCTTTTGGGGGCTTTTAAAATCCCTTCTTCTGTGTTTTCCAGTGTTTTTATGAGTGAAGGACATACATTGGGTTGTTAGGTGTATTGTGTCCAAATTTGGTGTCCATTCCCCCAGTGGTTTTTGAGTTCAATTAATCCCACAAACAAACATTACATTTTTATTTATATAGATGCGAAGGCACCAGCAAAACATGGATGTGGATATTTCCAGATCCATTAAAATGGAACAGCCAGTGTTGGGTGTCTGACACATGTCACCTCTGTGTGTTGCATGCTTTCAGCTGGGATGTTGAACTGCATGAACAACCAAGCACAAAGTAGCTGCGCGCAATAACATCCTGCGGAAACTTACTGGTAGCGCATGGGGAGCAGACCCAAAATTAATACGAACATCAGCCCTGGCCTTGTCTTACTCAACTGCTGAGTATGCCTGACCCTGTTTGGCATAAGAATGTTCACGCGAAGCAGGTGAACATAGCACTGAATTAAACATGAAAAATAATCACAGGATGTCTCAAACTTACATCTGTTGATAGACTCTACAACCTAGCTTGCATTGCCTCCTCTGATGTGCAACAGGAAGTTACTGCTGTGAGAGAAATAAGTTTGAACACTGTGAAGTCCATCCACTGCATGGCTATCAGCCTCTTCCCAATAGACTCAAATCAAGGGAAAGTTTCATGAGAACCACCACCACTTCTCTAATGTTCCCCCAGCAACAGTAAGAGCATAAACCAGGAAATCCCAACTGGATGGCTCCCCACAAGGGTCTTCCTCCAGGGGCAAACCAAGAATGGGCAACTTGGAAGTCCCTGAACTGGTTCAGAAACAGAGTGGGCAGATCAGAAGACAACCTGGCAAAATGGCACGACCTAGAAGAACCCTCCACCATCTGTGACTGTGGAGCAGAACAAACAACTCCGCAGCTGTATGCTTGTCCACAATGCCCTGCCTCATGTACAGAGGAAGAATTGTTTAAAGCTACAGACAATGTGGTCGCTATTGCCCACTTTGGGACCAGGTTATGGCGCAGCCGGTTGGGAGTCAGCTGCATTAAAATCATTACTGACCCAAAGGTCATGAGTTCGAAGCCAGCCCGGGTCGGCATAAGCTCCTGACCATTTATCTAGCTTGCTATCAACCTTTGCAGCCCGAAAGACTGTTGCATCTGTCAAGTAGGAAATTTAGGTACTGCTTATGCAGGGAGGCTAATTTAATAATAATAATAATAATAATAATAATAATAATAATAATAATAATAATAATAATCAACTTTACTTATACCCTGCTCCATCTCCCCCAGGGGGACTCGGTGCGGCTTACATGAGGCCACGCCCTACACACATTATAATACAAAACATAACAATGCCAGGAAATAAAATACATAAAATGCAAAAATCAATATAATAAGCGAACAATAGTATCAAAACAAACAATTAAAAACAAAAGCATCTTAACTAATTTAAGGTGCCATAAAACTCTCCATCAGAATGCAAAAGAATGAGGAAGTACTCCATTGGTGTCACAAGTGGATGGTGAAGCAACAACTCCCCCAGTGGCCGGAATTCAAAAAGGATACCCTCATGAAGCTGGGAAGTTAAATAACCTCTGTATGTCTGTCTATGTATGTTGTGTGTCTATGGCATTGAATGTTTGCCATGTAGATGTTCATTGTGATCCGCCCTGAGTCCCCTGCGGGTTGAGAAGGGTGGAATATAAATACTGTAAATAAATAAATAAAAATTATTTAGCTGCTTGTGCTCCTTCTATTTTTATCAGTTTTAGACTTAGGCATGCAATGCTTTTGACACAAAATAAATAAAGCTGGGATGTTCGGCGTAAACACAGTTCTGTAGTAAAAATGTGATTTGGTGTTCTAGGTAACGAACACTTTTGCCTTTTCTCCTTGCAGAAATTGTCGATGGCAATGCAAAGATGACCCTCGGTATGATCTGGACGATCATCCTCCGGTTTGCCATTCAGGATATTTCCGTGGAAGGTAAGATCCGCAGGGCTGGGTGGATACGCCTTCTGCATTTCCTGCTGGCGCATGTAATTTATGGGAGAGGAGGGCAATAAATATAATACACTATAGAGGAAGAGGCTTGATAAAAATGCAAGCAGTGAGGCACTGTAAAACGATCCAGGGAGGTGCTCATACTTAGAAATGCTCTTCCTGTGCTTCCTGCTTTTCTCTCAATCAGTTCCAATAAATCTTTCCCTGGGCAGCTGCTTGGCCAGTTGCAGTAAACATCCCTTCCTTTATGGAGCATTTGGCTCTGGCTCTTTGTCAGGTACCTGCTCTGGAAATGCCGGTCCAAGTGTTTATAGGCAGCTGGAGGGAAGCTTTGGAGAATGGGATCCATCTCCTGAAGTCTTCCCCTGAGACTCTTTTGACCAGAAGGATGCCCACATCAGCATTCATGCACTGCAGCTATGTATGTTCAATTGGGGTTTTTTCACCCTTATTTGCCATAGAATGGCACCTTTACATTGAAGTAAAAAAAAAATCAGGCAGCAGAGAAGAATGCAAGATCTCTAAAGCAGTGTTTCTCAACCTTCCTAATGCCACGACCCCTTAATACAGTTCCTCATGTTGTGATGACCCCCAATTATAACCTTACAACCCCTGAGGATGCCTGCCGTAGATGTGGGTGAAACATCAGGAGAGAATGCTACTGGAACACGGCCATACATTCCAGAAAACTCACAGCAGCCCATATATGTGTGTGTTTTAAAGAAAATAGCATTCCTTGCTTTTTCCATTTATTGAGATTACATAGAAAATGCAAAGTGAAATCCTCTTGCTTATTTACACGGGTGTATAAGTACTTTTACAGGCAGTATTCACAGTGTATGAAATGCCTACATTGGGAAGGGCATGCGTTCATCCTCTTCAGATGAGGTGCTGGATGTGAATGGTTCAGGCTTCCAGTTTAGTTATTTTACTTTATTTGTATCCGGTTTTTCTCCCAAAATAGGGGACACAAGGTGGCTAATAACAGGGACTTTACTCTTCTGCCTTGGTTTAAGTCTTCCGGTTTCAGTTCTAACAGTATTGCAACTCCTTTGTCCTCTGATGCAGAAACTTCGGCCAAGGAGGGCCTGTTGCTCTGGTGCCAGAGGAAGACAGCTCCCTACAAGAACGTGAACGTGCAGAACTTCCACATAAGGTAAACATTGGATACAGTCCATCTTGTGGAGAGTAGCCTTTACTCTGAGCTACTTGTTTTGGACCACATCGCTCTGAATTCCACAGTTAGTGTAGCTTCCTGGTGCTCTTACCTTTCTGAAAGACAAAACCAGCAGTTTCCCTAATCAGAAGGCCTTACCCATTGTGAACATCCTGAGGATGGCTTCCTATTAACAGATTCAAGCAAGCTCAGTCCACTTGGAAGCCAAGTTTGTAAAGTAAGAGAGCCAGGCTTGGTAGAATCCATTTTTGTTGTTCATTTGTTCAGCCCACGCCAGAGCTCCCTGTCGGCCGTCACCACCCCCAGCTCCTTCAAGGTCAGTCCAGTCACTTCAAGAATGCCATCCATCCATCTTGCCCTTGGTAGAATCCATAGTTGTTAGCAAAAATTGTTGGGCGAGTGGGCTTATTGGCAAAAGACCCTCCTCATAAATGTATAGCAGAGTACCGTATAAGCCGGGGTACAACACGACTGGGGCTATAAGACGACCCCCCAACTTTAAGACACAAAATAGAGAGTTGGGGATATACTCACCGTTTAAGACGACTCCGCTGCTCAGGCCGCTCTCCTCCTTCCTGCCCCCATTCCACCGCCATGGTGTCTCTGCCTCTCAGCCCCACGAGAAGCTCCTCTTCTCCTGCAAGACAAGGTTGTCTCACGGGTGAAGAGGTGCTTCTCACGAGGTCTGGCCAGGAAGAAGTAGAGTGGCCTGAGCAGCGCGGGATGCTCTTCTGCTCAGGCCGCTCTCCTTCTTCCTGGCCAGACCTTGCAAGAAGCGGCTCTTCTCCCACGAGACAACGTTGTCTCGCGGAAGAAGAGGCACTTCTTGTGAGGCCTGGCCAGGAAGGAGAGTGGCCTGAGCAGAAGGGCCTCCCGCGCTGCTCAGGCTGCTCTCCTTCCTGGCCAGGAAGTGCCTCGTCTCGCAGGAGAAGAGGCGCTTCTTGCGAGGCCTGGCCAGAAAGAAGGAGAGTGGCCTGAGCAGCACGGGAAGCAGCCCCGGGTGCCAACAAGGGAGAGGCCTAGGCCTGAACAAGAAGGCAGCCAGGAAGAGAGGAAGCTACGGAGAACCTGCCCGGGAGGCCGCCATGAGCCAATGTAGCAGAGGAGAGGAGGAGGCGGAGTAATTTTTGTAATTTTATTATTATTTTAATTTTATACCTGGCGTACTAGACGACCCCCCTAAAAAGTCGTCTAGTACCCTGGAATATACGGTAACTTAGCAGCAGCATGACCTCAGTAGCCAAAGGTGATAGAAAGAACCAAAATACACAGGCCAGTGTTATCTCTTCCATAGGAGGCTTTTCTTTGTAGTAAAATAATATTGCTGCACTATTTACAAGGACAAGGTTTTCATAACATCATTAAAGTTCAACCTTCACACATAAGGCCTTCTCATACCGAGGCTTATCTCACACAGAAGCTTCTCTCACAGACTAAGGCCTACCTCACACTGTGAGGCCTTCTCACAGACAGAGACCTTTCTCCCACTGAGGCAAACTAATACAGAGGTCTACTAAGTTATAGGCACACCTTTTTATATAGCTTTTGCTGAGTGATTGCATCCATTTAACCCTTTCAGTGATTGAATCACATTTTTGTAATTAAAAATACCTAGTTAATTTTTAATATTTCTGACAAAAATTAAGTGCCAATTTGGAAAGGAGGACCATATTTTAGAGGCAGGAGACTTATGGTAGAGCCTTAAATCAAATTATAGTCCTGGGACTGTGTCCGCAACCTCCTCTAGACTCCTGGGACTGTTCCTTTTCTCCTAGAAGGTTCCGGGAGCAGAGCTTCACCTTTCCCATGCATCTCACCAAAACACTTCTTCTACCACTTTGGTTTTTAAAACTGGAATGCCTGACTTTTGACATTTTAGGAACAGATAATTGCCTCTTGGATCCGTGTCTGTTGCCCATATCTGCAGTAGAGTGTGATAAAACAGGATATGGTGAAGGTAGATTGCAGTTGCATACACATTCACACTATCATTCTATCAAGCTGAAGAGTAGTTAGACCAGGCATGGGCCCTCCAGCTGTTTTGGACTTCAGCTCCCACAATTCTGAACAGCTGATAGGAATTGTTTGGAATTGTAGGAGTTGAAGTCCAAAATACCTGGAGGGCCAAAGTTTGCCTATGCCTGAGCTAGACAGAAAGCCCATCATCCAGTGCACAATAGACCAAGAAAGCTCAACTGATGCAGGATGTAGATAATAAGAATCAGCTTTGAAAGGAGTACACAGATCCATAGAACTGAGTCTCAAGCTTGGCCCAAGGGAGCTCTTCCATTTCAGTGTTCTGGTAATTGATGAGCATTGTATTGTATCACATCTCGAGGACACTGGGTTGGGAGAAGCTGCATTTGATGCTCACCAGGCTTTGCATTTTAATACCTTTTTGTAACAATACCATCCCGTCCCCATTGGTTTTGAGGAACACTATTTCAAAGCTATTTTCCCCTCTTTTGTAAAGCCAGGTCATCTCATTGTTTCTTTGGGCTTCTTTTCACAGCTGGAAGGATGGCCTTGCTTTTAATGCCTTGATCCACAGACACAGACCAGAACTCATTGAATACGACAAGCTCAGAAAGGTAGGTCCAGGAGGAACAGCAGGTGCTGTTGCCCTTCCTTCTTGTATTGAACTCTACATACTCTTTTCTGTTGCTCTTTGTGATTTTCAGTGAATCCAGCAGTGCCTGAAAGTGGTGAGGTTTGCTAGGATCAAATTCCACTTCAGCCAGGAATGCTTGGAGGAAGTTATTATTGTTGGGCAAGTGGGCTTGTTAACAAAAGACCTTTCTCATAAATGCACAGCAGAGTAACTTGTCAGCAGTGGTGTGACCAAGCACCAGTAGCCCAGAGTGATAAAAAGAACACAATCACACAGACTAATGTTATCTCTTCCATAGAAGACTTTTCTTTATAGTAAAATAATATAGTTGCACTATTTACAAGAGCAAGGTTTCCACAACACAAATACAGTCCTTCATACTTCCTTCTTTGCTTCCACGCTGAGCTTCTTTCTTATGCAGATAAACAGCTTCACTCTCACAGAGACTCCTCTGAGACTGAAATTATACAGGATCTTCACATAGCAGCTTTACACATAGCTTAACAAACGAGGCCTTCAACATGGAGCTCCTCTCACCAAAACTTCTCACACAAGGCCTTCTCACACTCTGAGGCCCTCTCAGACTAAGACCTTCCTCACACAGAGGCTTCTCTCACAGACTACCTCACACTCTGAGACCTTCTCCCACAGACTAAGGCCTCTCTCACACTCTGAGGCTCTCTCAGACTAAGACCTTCCTCACACAGAGGCTTCTCTCACAGACTACCTCATACTGTTAGGCCTTCTCCCACAGACTAAAGCCTATCTCACACCGTGAGGCCTTCTCTCACAGACTAAGGTCTACTTCACACTGAGACCTTTCTCCCTCTGAGGTTTACCTCAGGCTGACAGCTACTGAGCTACAGGCACACCTGCTTATATAGAAGACAATGACCTGTGATAGGTGCTTGAAAGGTGAGTTGTAGAAATCCAAAAAAATTGTCCAGTATTAAATCTAGCAACTGTTTATCCTTATTTTGATTACTTGTATTTATCCTTATATTGATACTTACTGGAATTTGTTTAAATCTCCAGCTACTGTTGCCTTTTTATTTTTTTAACTAGTGGGATTTTATGATTTTATGTGGTTATTGTTATTGTGATAGTGGTCATGTACTTATTGTATTTTATGTTTGCACCTTGAGTGCTTTTGTGAGCCGCCTCAAGTCCCTTCGGGGAGATGGTGACAGGGTAGAAATAAATAATAATAATAATAATAATAATAATAATAATAATAATAATAATTATTATTATTATTATTACTATTATTATATTTTGAATGACGATTTTCCATTTGCTCCAGCAATAGAATAAACCTTTTCAGTGTTTTTGTTACACATATACATGCTTTATACATGAGGCCTTTAACCTGGGGCTTCCTTCACTGAAGCTTCTCACACACAGAGGTTTGCCTCACACTCCTCAGGTTGACACTAGCTTTGGCCCACTAACTCCAACAGGTTTCAGCCTACTCGCTCTTTCAGTGCTTGACTCACGCTTTAGTAATAAAAAATACCCAGCTAATTTTTTAATATTTCTTACAATAACTTTGAGCCTCAGCTCCCTTACTGTGTACAATGGGAAGAACAATGGCCAACTTCAGAATAAAAAAGAAATGCAAGATGTTTTGTACACTAAAATATACAGGAAACTAGGGTTGGTGGTAATAAAGCCTGACTTCTCATTGGAGGGAAGAATAGTAGAGGCCAAGATGAAGTACTTTGGCCACATCATGAGAAGAAAGGAAAGCTTAGAGAAGACAAGGATGCTGGAGAAAGTTGAAGGAAAAAGGAAGAGGGGCCAACCAAGTGCAAGATGGATGGATGGGATCCTCGAAGTGACTGGATTGACCTTGAAGGAGCTGGGGGTGGTGACGGCCGACAGGGAGCTCTGGCGTGGGCTGGTCCATGAGGTCACGAAGAGTCGGAAACGACTGAACGAATGAACAACAGCAAGGGTTGGTGGTGCCTGAGAAGATATGAAGCTGTTTAAAAATCTCATTGGACTTCGAACTTTTAATGTTGAGTCCTGTGAGTATAGTTCTTTGAGGTTTCTAGCGCCCACCTTTTGCTTGATGTTCAGGCAGTGCTTCTTGTAGGTCAGGGCACGGCCCAGAGTGACTCCCAGGTATTTGGGTGTGCTGCAATGCTCCAGTGGGATTCCTTCCCAGGTAATCCTCAGAGCTTGGGATGATTCTCTGTTCTGGTGATGAAAGGCACATGTCTGTGTTTTAGATGGATTAGGGATCAGCTGGTTTTCCCTGTAATAGACAGTAAGAGCACCTAGAGCTTCAGAGAGCTTCTGTTCTACCATCTCAAAGCTCCCTGTTTGAGCAGTAATGGCACGATCATCAGCATAGATGAAACTCTCTGTCCCTTCTGGCAGTGGCTGGTCATTTGTGTAAATGTTGAACATTGATGGAGCAAGCACACTCCCCTGAGGCAGGCCGTTCTTCTGTTTCCGCCATCTGCTTCTCTGGCCCTGGAACTCAACCCTGGGCACTAGAAAAATATCATACGAAAGCTGACTGGCACAACCTGGGGATCACAACCAGACACAGTGAAGACATCTATCTGCCCTTGTGCTATGCTACTCTGCTGCTGAGTATGCATGCCCAGTGTGGAACGCATCTCACTACACTAAAACAGTGGATGTGGCTCTTAATGAGACATGCCGCATTATCACAGGGTGTCTGCGCCCTACACCACTGGAGAAATTACACTGCTTAGCCGGTATTGCACTACCTGACATCCACCTGGAAGTAGCAACCAATAGTGAAAGGACCAAGGCAGTGACATCTGCAGCTCATCCCTTGTTTGGGTATCAGCCAGCACATCAGCGACTTAAATCAAGAAGTAGTTTTCTTAGATCTACAGAAACACTCGCTGGAACACCTCAGCAAGCGAGAGTCCAAAAGTGGCAGGCTCAAACCCAGCACCTCAATCAATGGCTGATACCAAATGAGAGACTCCCTCCTGGGCACATAGAAGACTGGGCGACTTGGAAGGCGCTGAACAGACTGCGCTCTGGCACCACGAGATACAGAGCCAATCTTAAGAAATGGGGCTACAAAGTTGAATCCACGACATGCGAGTGTGGAGAAGAGCAAACCACAGACCACCTGCTGCAATGCAACCTGAGCCCTGCTACCTGCACAACGGAGGACCTTCTTGCGGCAACACCAGAGGCACTCCAAGTGGCCAGATACTGGTCAAAAGACATTCAATCAGCTACCAAGTTTGCAAAAGTTGTGGGTTTTTTAATCTGTTTGTTTGTTTTGTTCTGTTAGAAATGTAATACAATGGTATGGTTGCTGATGACACGATAAATAAATAAATAAAATAGTTCTTTGAGGAATACATTCTCAAATGTTGGGCTTAGTCGGAGAAGGTATTAGTGGGGAGAAACAAAATGCCCATTTGATCCTGAGATGCTCCTTGCCAAATGATTTGTGTCTTGCGTTGGTGGCATCCAATTTGACAGCTGTGCCTCTTTTCCTAGGACGATCCGGTAACAAATCTGAACAATGCCTTTGAGGTCGCCGAGAAATACCTTGACATTCCCAAGATGTTGGATGCGGAAGGTAAGCTCGGTCTTTATGCCGCGGGGCTCCGTTTGGTCGCATGAATTGCATTTCACAACAGCATCGGGGCTTATAATCAGCAACTCGTAGGAAGAGGTTCCTGGCACTGAAGTGTGTGTTTCTGAATCTCTAAGCAGGATTGGATTGCAGAAGCCAAGTAGAGCAATTCAGCTCTGCTTAGATGACTTACTCAGAGTAATTAATCAGATGGTAATCGGCATTCCTGAAGTCGCATTTACACTTAGCCAGTCATTCTTTCCACGCTGAACATGCTGGCTTGTCCAGATTCCTCCACCCTTCACATTAAAGCACGCTGGAGGCATGCATGACCATCTTCCCACCTCTCCTCCAGGTCCCAGACTTGGAGGTGAGACTGTTAGGCAACAAATAAAATAAAAATCACACCCTTAAGTTAACTAGGAACAAACTACAGTTCCAGCAGGAACTTTTGGTACAGCTTCAGCTTTGGTTCTGATGTAGTTTGTAGTTTAGTTGTTCTTTCACCACTGCAAAGCCATGAGAGCTCTGCAGCCTTTTGTAAGAAGCCTTGAGCTGTGAAAGGAGGTGGGAGATTGGGAAATGTAGGATAATAATAATAATAATAATAATAATAATAATAATAATACTTTATTTATACCCTGCCACCATCTCCCCAAGGGAGTCGGAGCGGCTTACATGAGGCCAAGCCCAACAACACATCAATAAAAACAAGAAAGCAATAAACAAAAAACAATACAATACAATACAGTTAATATAAATCACAAATAAACAATAACGCACAAGGATTTAAAAACCTATGGCCTGCCCAAATAGTTAATTAAAAAAAAAAAAACGCTGGGCATGAACAAGGTAGGATATGTCTGGTATAAGGGTTTTAAAAGAAATGAGGGGAGTGCAGTCCAACCCAATCCAATAGTAAAGTGCATTCTGAGGACATATTGCTGGGAATTTTCCTTATTCTGGGAAGGCACACTGGAACAACCACGTTTTCAGGCTCCTCCTAAAGACTGCCAATGTTGGGACATGCCTGATGTCCTTGGGAAGTGAGTTCCAGAGTCGGGGGCCACCACCGAGAAGGCCCTCTCCCTCGTCCCCACCAATCGCTCCTGCGAGGGAGGCGGGAGCACAAGCAGGGCCTCTCCAGATGATCGAAGAGATCTTGTGGGTTTGTACATAGAAATACGGTCACGCAGGTAGGCGGGACCCAAACTGTTCAAGGCTTTGTAGGTAAGAACCTGCACCTTGAATTGGGACTGGAAAATGAACGGCAGCCAATGGAGCTCCTTAAACAGGAGGGTTGACCGCTCCCTGTAAGTTGCACCAGTCAGTAACCTGGCTGCCGCCCATTTTACCAATTGAAATTTCCGGGCCATTTTCAAGGGCAGCCCCACGTAGAGTGCATTACAGTAATCCAATCTATAGGTGACTAAGGCATGGATAACTGACTTCACTTCTGAACTGATCAAGTAGTTTATATTGTTGACTGTAGTTCACTTTCTCAGGCTGTTATTTTTTGCCTACAGAAGGGCGACAGATCTGTTGGACGTGATGACGCAAGATCCAAAAGGACATCAAGTCAGGGCTTTGCCTTGCAGTGTATTTAACCCTTGTTGTTCACTTTCCAGATATTGTCAACACAGCTCGTCCCGATGAGAAGGCTATTATGACCTATGTCTCCAGCTTCTATCATGCCTTCTCTGGCGCACAGAAGGTACCAGAAGCGACCGAGCCTTCAGCATTAACCGCTCTTCTCTTCTTTTCTTTCCAGCATCCTGTGCTCTCCTGATTTCTCTTGCCAAGGGCAACATCTTCCCAGCAGCTCAAACCTCAGCTAGATCAGGGCATGTTCAGAGGTCATTCCCCCCCATAGCTAATTCATCCTGAGCCTTAACTCTCTCTTTGTTGTCAAATTGAGCTTCAAAGGCTCAATATTTGAGGGATTCTGGGCAAAAATGTGCTAAAAAGGACATTTGAGGTACCTCCATGTTCTTCAGGTAGACCTTCAACCAGTCTAGTATTTTCATAGTTACATTGTCTACCTTTTGCTCAATGGATAAAACAAATTAAATGTAAGCATTGGGTTTTTGTACATATATTAATTAATGCAATGATTGGCAACCTTCTATTTAATAATTACAGTTAATTGTATTTAGTAGAATCATAGAGTTGGAAGAGACCTCATGGGCCATCCAGTCCAACCCCATTCTGCCAAGAAGCAGGAATATTGCATTCAAATCAACCCTGACAGATGGCCATCCAGCCTCTGTTTAAAAGCTTCCAAAGAAGGAGCGTCCACCACACTCCAGAGGGGGTTGGACTGGATGGCCCATGAGGTCTCTTCCAACTCTTTGATTCTATGATTCTATAAGGAGCCTCCACCACACTCCGGGGCAGAGAGTTCCATTGCTGAACGGCTCTCACAGTCAGGAAGTTCTTCCTCATGTTCAGATGGAATTTCCTTTCTTGTAGTTTGAAACCATGGTTCCACGTCCTAGTCTCCAAGGAAGCAGAAAACAAATACTTACGGATAAGAAGAGGCAATTGCTGACTCTTCTTCCTTGGTTGTCTCAGTGGCAATTATTGTCCAGCTCCTGCTAATTAAAATGTGACTCAGTTGAAATTTGATGAATCCTGCAGTCTTAAATGTATTTTATTAAGAAATCATCCCTATTGAGTGTGAAACAGGAGGTATGCACTACGTCAGCTGAATGTGGCAGCCCTAAAAAGCTCTTGCTGCTAAAAGCTGACGAGATAAAGCAGAGATGAGGAGACCTGTTCCTCCAGATGTTGAACTCCAATTCCTATTCTTGGAGTCCTCATGGACAAGAAGTTAAACATGAGCCAACAATGTGATGCTGCAGCTAAAAAAGCCAATGGGATTTTGGTCTGGCTAAATAGGAGTCTAGTGTCTAGATCCAGGGAAGTCATGCTACACTTCTATTTTGCCTTGATTAGACCACACCGGGAATGCTGTGTCCAGTTCTGGGCACCATAATTGAAGGGAGATGTTAACAAGCTGGAATATGTCCAGAGGAGAGCAACTAAAATGATCAAGGGTCTGGAGAACAAGCCCTACGAGGAGTGGCTTAAAGAGCTGGGCATGTTTAGCCTGCAGAAGAGAAGACTGAAGGGAAGCATCGATAGCCATGTATAAATATGTGAGGGGAAGTCATAGGGAGGAGGGAGCAAGCTTGTTTTTGCTGCCCTAGAGACTAGGACACAGAGCAATGGCTTCAAACTACAAGAAAGGAGATTCCACCTGAAAATGAGGAAGAACTTCTTAACTGTGGGAGCTCTTCAGCAGTGGAACTCTCTGCCCCAAGTGTGGTGGAGGCTCCTTCTATGGAGGCTTTTAAACAGAGGCTGGATGGCTATCTGTTGGGGGTGCTTTGAACGCGATTGTCCTGCTTCTTGGCAGAATGGGGTTGGACTGGATGGCCCACAAGGTCTCTTCCAACTCTATGATTCTATCAGTTCTGACAAACCTGACCAAGGACGAGAAAAGTAAATGATAGGTCACCAACATCTGGAGAACCAAAGATTCCCAGCTCTGCAGTGGAGCTTTGTAAACAGATTTTTTGTCGGGTCAGGAGCAACCTGACAAACTGCAAGTTGCTTCTGGTGTGAGAGAATTGGCCCAGGAGACGCCCGGATGTTTTGATGTTTTATCATCCTTGTGGGAGGCTTCTCTCATGTCCCTGCATGAGGAGCTGGAGCTGATAGAGGGAGCTCCTCCGCCTCTCCCCAGATTTGAACCTGCGACCTGTCAGTCTTCAGTCCTGCTGGCACAGGGGTTTAACCCACTGCGCCACAGATGAGATGACCCAAGAGGACAGAGTCCTGACCCAGCTGAGATTTGGGCTGCTAAGGGGCGTGAAGGCTCGCCTTGCCCCTGCCCCTTTGCCTCCGCTCCATTGCATGGCCGATCAGGGCCGGGTAGACCTTGCACTGTGCCTTTGACTCTGCCTCCGTTTTTCTCTTTTCCTCCTGCGCAGATATTGTAGGCACGCTCAGGCCCGATGAGAAGGCCATCATGACCTACGTCTCCTGCTTCTATCACGCTTTTTCGGGGGCTCAGAAGGTGAGCTTTGGCTGGGTAGGGCTGCTGGCTGCCGCTTTCCAAGGTATCTGACTATTGTAAGCTGTCACTAACTTGTTCCCTAATCAACTTTCTGGAGCATGGCATTGAGACTGGCTTGAAAGGGCTTCGAGAAGACAAGGGGTGGCAGGATATCAACGGCCTAGTAGTCTTGGACCAAGAAAGCTTTTGTATCAGGGGGCCAGGAAGGCAAAGGAAATAGAGTTATCTATTCTTGGGCATCAGTTCTTGAAGAAGAGCAAGTAAGGAAAGTGTGATGTTGACAACATCTCTTTGCTTACATCCATTTGGATTGTTTTGCTGCTGCCGACAGGTGGGAAGAAACCAAGCCTAGACCCATTAGGAAATGGTGAAATCTCTCAGAAGGAATCTCACATAGTTTCTATCATTCTTCCAATTCTTTGCACCTTCATTTGAGTTTTGTTATTGATCATGAATTAATTCCCATGCACACTGCACATATCTTATTTGTAGTTCAGAAAACACTTAAAACAATATAGTAATTAAAATGAAGAACCATTTTAACAAATATAAACTTATTAGTATTTCAATGGGAAGTGTGGACCTGCTTTTGGCTGATGTGATAGAATTGTTGTTGTTGTTATGTGCTTTCAAGTCGTTTCAGACTTAGGTTGACCCTGAGCGAGGGCCGGGTAAATGACCTTGGAGGGCTGTATCCGGCCCTCGGGCCATAGTTTGAGGACCCTTGCTCTATACAGTTATGCTGGCCACATGACCTTGGAGGTGTCTACGGACAGCGCCGGCTCTTTAGCTTCGAATTGGAGATTAGCACCACCTCCCAGAGTTGGACACAACTAGGCTTAATTTCAGGGAAACCTTTACATTTGCTATCAGAGTTCATCCTTTTGGAGCAGAATTATATTTGTCTTGTTAGGAATTGTGGGAGTTGAAGTCCAAAACACCGAGAGGGGCAAAGTTTGCCCATGCCTGAGATTGCTTGTTGCTTCTCCCAATTAGCATAGATTTGGTCAAAACTTGGGGAAGTTACTTTTGGGGGTGACTGTTCCCAGAATCCCCCTAGTCAGCAGAGTCAGTGGTTGTGCAGGCTTATCTGGGACCCGAGTTCTGGAACTTGAGAGGTGGCGGAATACTTTACTGAGCTGAGGTTGCATACACCTCTGAGTACCTCAGGTTACCCAGCTCTGCTGATCTCCTTCCATTGCCTTCCTCTGGGGCTGAGAGAGTGAAACATGCCCGAGGTTGGCCAGTGGGTTTCACTCAACAGAAATGATAGCTTATTGTTAAATGGCCTGGACTCTGCACACTTCATTCCCATCACTCAGCATCCGACGGAGGAGGAATTGGAGAAGGGCAGACTTCCTCAATCTGGTAATCAATCCAGTTCCCCTGAATTAATTATGGCTTAGCCAAGCAGGCAAATCTCTGTGTATATCAGCAGTAGGCCAAGTTCGGGGACAATTTTTTCCCTTTGAGATCTGTTGCAGGACTCACAAAATGCTTCTGGTTTTGTGGGGAAACCCCTTTGGAGATAGCAAGGGGCTACAGTGTGCTTTTTAAGAAAACAAACAGCACTTGTGGAAGGGAATCCCACCTGAAGGAGGGATTTCTCCTTTTCCAGCCAAACCTCTTTCCCCAGGAAGTTCCGATAACCCCACGGGCCACAAAAAGGAACTTGGGAGCCATATGCTCAATCTTCACTCAGCCATATCATGGAAATCCCAGATTCTTTTGATCTTTCCTGAAATGGGAAATGCTTTCTAAGTGCATTTTCCACTACAGCTGCTTGGCAGGATGGAAAGAAAGCTTCTGACACCACAACTTGAGATAATGCCGTTGGGAGGACTCTGTTGGGTGAGTGGGCTTATTAACAAAAGAACGTCTCTATGAATGTATAGCAGAGTAACTTATTAGCAGTAGCGTGTCCCAGCACAAGTAGTCCAAAGTGATAAAAAGAACCGAAACACACATACCAATGTTATCTCTTCCATAGGAGGCTTTTCTTTGTAGTAAAATAATATAGTTGCACTATTTACAAGAACAAGGTTTCCACAACACAAATAAAGTCTTTTATACTTCCTTCTTTGCTTCCATGCTGGGGTTCTTCCTCATGGAGATAAACAGCTTCGCTCTCACTGAGCCTCCTCTCACAACGAACTTATACTGGAGCTTCACACAGTAGCTTTTTACACACAGATCAATGTTGTCTCTTCAATTGGAGGCTTTTCTTTATAGCAAAATAATATAATTTACTGTTTACAAGAACAAGGTTTCCATAACACAAATAAAATTCAGCCTTCACAATGGAGTTTCACACACAAGAGCTGTCTCATACCGAGGCTTACCTCACACAGTGGCTTCTCTCACAGACTAAGGCCTACCTTACACTTAGGCTGCCTAACAATGAGGTCTATTCTCCCACTGAGGTTTACCTCAAACTGACAGCTACAGGCACACCTGCTTATATTAAACTGCAGCTTTTACACATTAGGCCTTTAACCTGGGGCTTCTTTCACTAAAGTTTCTCACACTAGGTCTTGAGAGGAGACATGATAGCCATGTATAAATATGTGAGAGGAAGTCACAGGGAGGAGGGAGCAAGCTTGTTTTCTGCTTCCCTGGAGACTAGGACGCAATGGAACAATGGCTTCAAACTACAAGAGAGGAGATTCCATCTGAACATGAGGAAGAACTTCCTGACTGTGAGAGCTGTTCAGCAGTGGAACTCTCTGCCCTGGAGTGTGGTAGAGGCTCCTTCTTTGGAAGCTTTTAAACAGAGGCTGGATGGCCATCTGTTGGGGTGCTTTGATTTTCCTGCTTCTTGGCAGGGGGTTGGGCTGGATGGCCCATGAGGTCTCTTCCAACTCTATGATTCTATGATTCACACTCAGCCTTCTCATAGACTTAGGCCTACCAACATTGAGGCCTATTCTCCCACTGTGTGTCGTACACCAGAGCAGGAACACCTAGTAAAATTAGCAAAAACAATAAAGTTCCCAAAACAAAGAATAATCCATGAGTTTCAGGGCAAAATAAGATCCATTGAATCAACAATCCATGAAACAAGGCAGCATGAAAAATCCAATACACAAATCAGGAGCTTGACAAAAACTTGGTACACAAAACTAAGAACACTTGAAAGCAATACTGTCATGAAATTCCAACGTAGACCCAACTGAGGCAACTCTTTCCCACGAATCAATATAAGGCTTTTCCCGATCCCAAAACTGAAAAGAGAGCATTTTTCTTGACCTTACCACCAGATAAAGGTTTCTTATCTCTCTTTTCCTGTAAATGAATTGATCATCTTTGTAACTGAGTTCTCTGTCTCTGTTTACAAAAGCCTTGCTTTCTATTTACACTCTCATTAACTTCTGCAACTTACAAATCATATTCAGACAGTTGCTCTGAGAAAGACTGTGAAGGGCCTCTCCCAGGAATGTTACCTTGTGAATCTTCCTGAGGCAGCTCAGGCCTCTTGTCTGAGCTTAACTCAGGCCCAGGCAAATTCCTCATCCCCATTACCAACAGACCCAGGCCCGCCATCAGGAACATCACCCCCATTCCATCATGAACATCAGACACAAGCACAGGCTGAACAGGCTGACATACAACACACTGAGGTTCTCTCACACAGAGCCTTCTCTCATACCCCTCAGGACGACACTACCTCTAGCAGGCTTTGGCCTACTAACTCTTTCAGTGCTTTTTTGTAATCAAAAATACATAGTTAATTTTTAAGATTTCTGACAGACTACAGCTCTCAGTCTTCCCCAGCCATTGTGGGGGATTCTGGAATTGGTAGTCTGCCTGTCCCTGTAGACCAGTGTTTCTCAACCTGGGGGTCGGAACCCCTGGGGGGGTCACGAGGGGGTATCAGAGGGGTGGCCAAAGACCATCAGTATTTTCTATTGGTCATGTGGGTTCTGTGTATGAAGTTTAGCCCAATTCTCTCATTGTTAGAGTTCAGAAAACTCTTTGATTGTAGCTGAACTATAAATCCCAGCAACTACAACTCCCAAATGTCAAAGTCTATTATCTCTAACCTCCTCCAGTATTCACATTTGGGCATGTTGAGTATGTTCGTTCCAAGTTTGGTCCAGATCCATCATTGTTTAAGTCCATAGTGCTCTCTGGATGTAGGTGAACTACAACTCCAAAACTCAAGGTCAATACCTATCAAACCCTTCCAGTATTTACTGTTGGTCATAGGAGTTTTGTGTGCCAAGACTTGTTAAATTCAGTCATTGGTGTAGTTCAGAATGCTCTTTGATTGTATGTGAACTATAAATCCCAGCAACCACAACTCCCAAATTCCAAGGCCTATTTTCCCCAAATTCCATCAGTGTTCACATTTGGTCATATTGAGTATTCATGCCAAGTTAGGTGCATCATTGTTTAAGTCCACAGTGCTTTCTGGATGTAGGTGAACTACAACTCCAAAACTCAAGGTCAGTGCCTATCAAACCCTTCCAGTATGTACTGTTGGTCATAGGAGTTCTGTGTGCCAAGACTGCTTAAATTCAGTCATTGGTGTAGTTCAGAACGCTCTTTGATTGTATGTGAACTATAAATCTCAGCAACTACATCTCCCAAATGACAGCATCAATCTCCCCTTCAACCCCACTAGAATTCAAATTTGGATGTATCAGGCATTTGTGCCGAATTTGGTCCAGTGAATGAAAATACATCCTGCACATCAGATACGTGCATGACAATTCATAACAGCAGCAAAATTACAGTCGTGAAGTAGCAACAAAAATAGTGTTATGGTCGGGGGTCACCACAACATGAGAGAACTGGACTAAGGGGTCGCGGCATTAGGGAGGTTGAGAACCACTGCTGTAGACGATGCTCATGGCTATGATTCAACATTCACGTGGCCTCCTCCAACTCTCAGCAAGTCCTAAAAGTTTTGCCTCGTTCTGCTCAGCAAAGAAGGCCCACATAAGGGCAGACTGTGCATTAAGCGGAGGAGAGAAATTACGTCACCCGAACGTTTT